AATAGTGGACACCACGACGGCAATGCGAGGTGTCCGTGGAAGCTTAATTCACGTTCGGGTGCAAGAGTAGGTGGGCAATTCAAAATCACGGCATACAATGGACTCCACACTTGTAGCAATCCTCGATTAGAGATGAATAATAAGAATGTGTCCTCTTCTTTTATATATCGATTGATTTTACCGCATCTGAGGGAGAATCTTGATCTAAGGCCGAAAAATATCCGTCTTTTAGTGCATAAAGCCACCAACTTGGATGTATCATATCACAAGTGTTGGAATGCTAGGAGGAAGGCGACGATAAAAATATTCGGGGATTGGGATAATTCGTATGAGATCTTACCTCATTATCTTGAAGCACTCAAAAGAGAAAATCCGAGGACTGTCTACGAAGTATCTTCGGACCCCGTTGATGGCGGAGAACGACGGTTCACCGGTGTATTTTGGGCATTTGGGCCCTGTATTGAGGGGTTTTGATATTGTCGCCCTCTTCTTAGCATTGATGGAACTCACTTATATGGTAAATACAAAGGCGTTTTGCTTATTGCAACCGGAGTTGACGCGGATGGCGGGTTGTTTCCTTTAGCATTCGCAGTGGTTGATGTTGAAAATACAGAGAATTGGGCTTGGTTTTTTGCATGCATTAGATATCATATCCCTAGTGTGGGGACGCGGCATATTACATTCATATCCGATAGGATGAAAGGAATTCCAAGAGCACTCCAACGACATTTCCCGCCACCACATGCACATCGCTATTGCTTGCGACATATTAGAGACAACTTCAAGAAGAAGTATGGAAACGCTAAGGTTCAAGACTTACTTTGGCAAGCCGGTTGTGCAACAGAAAAATATGTTTATGAACAAATACGAGAGAGGATCAAGTTCTTATTGAGAGGTGGAGGCCAGAGACCAACACCTTTCACATGGATATAGGGGAGTGCACCATCACCTTACAGGACGTGGCCGTCATACTTGGACTCCGGATCGATGGACCAGCAGTTACGGGCACCGATGATCATAGTTGGCCGGAGGTATGTGCTAGGCTTCTTGGTCAGGTTCGCGACTTGAGGAGTGGTGCGATGAAGCTATCGTGGTTTCGTCAGACATTTCAGGGCGATATACTAGAGGATGCCTCTATTGAGACGCTCCAGTTTCATGCTCGTGCATACATATTGCACATGATAGGGTGCGTACTATTTCCTGATGCGAGAAAGACTCTCGTACATGCACGATGGCTGCCACTGCTGGAGGATTTCGGTGTATGCGGTGCACTATCGTGGGGCAGTGCGGTGTTGGCATATTTGTATCGAGGATTGAGTAGAGTATCTCTGATGCAGAATAAAGAATTCAAGGGATGTTGTACGTTGATATAGATTTGGTCATGGGAGCGCATTCATATTGGATGACCCACTTTACTTATGCACTGTGACTTAGAGGGGCAGTATCCGTTGGCATACAGGTATAATTGTACACACACATATTTCATTCGTAACCTGAATATTTGTACTTATATATCCGTTATTCTGCATATAGGTATAACGTGCGATACGCGCAGTACAGATCAGCGACGCGTCACCGTCAGTTTTACCGAAATGAGCTTGATGGCCTCCAGCACGAACAGGTAAATATAAAACTCAAGAAGTATGAATATTATAGTTTTTCTGTATGATACTGATAAATGTTTTATTTTATTTCAAGAAGTACACCGCCGGAGCTCGATATGCATTCTCTTGCAACTATCAACCGAGATAGTCCCGATTTGTGGAGAGCCAGGGTTCCATTGATCTGTTGGGAGATCGTAGAGATGCATGTCCCGGACCGTGTGCTAAGCAGTTTACGCTCTCTCAACATATTCCAGATCCTGTCGAGCAGATCAATCGTCGGCGGCGCCCTACATCGCACCGGACTGACTGAGCCGTACAGGTGGGTTCACAGGTGGGATTGCATACAGGATACGAGGCCCACAGCTGTTGACTATACCATGTATATACGTTGGTGTTGGGATATCACACGTAGACGGATCACGCGTAACCCACAGCCCTTAGCTGGACACATGCCACGCCCACCGACAGATAGTTACATCCCTAGTGGGATGAACGAGAGAGATTACGTAAGTTTCTAAGCTAAATTATTACATTTTTTATTGAGTTGATACTTAATAAATTGTTTACCACGCAGGTCCGTGTTTTTGATAGCATTGATGCTGATATTAATGCGCACGTGACTGAAATTCAGGATCAGGTGGCGTTAGGGCTCCTCAGCAGGATCAAGAAGAGCATAGCGCAGGTGTTTCATAAGACTCACGTCGACGAGTTCGCAGGCCGTGAGGACAGGTCTCGCTCATTTGGACAGGCGTACGCTCGACGTCGACGGCCACGTGATGATGACGCCGGCACTTCGCATGCCGATGACATAGTTGAGGCTCATCAGCAGGAACCCAGGGGGCGGGGAAGAGCGAGGGGGAGGGAGAAGAGAGGGAGAGGAAGGAGGGGAGCTATATTGGGTTGTATTTGAACTTATTTTGTTAAAATTTGTAACTTTCCTGAATTTTTAAATACTAAACTTTTGAAGATAAATTATTGTTCATATACATAATCGTGTGTGTTTAATTCATGGTTGAATCATGTATATATTATTGTTTGCAAATAAATTGGCATATATATGAGTTATAATTTATGGTTGAATCATGTATATATTGTTGTTTGCAAATAAATTGGCATATATATGAGTTAACAGGTACATATACAAAACATGCACAGCAGGCTGTGCATTTTTGTGGATGACCTACAACTTCACGGGAGTTGAACTCCCGTGAAGTTGCAGTCCCAATTTCCCAGAGATCGGCTCTCTGGGAATGTTTGACTGTAACTCCACGGGAGTTGAACTCCCGTGGAGTTTTAACAAGGAATTAAACTTCACGGGAGTTCAACTCCCGTGAAGTTTAATTTCTCGATAAACTTCACAGGAGTTGAACTCCCGTGATGTTTCGAAAAACTTTTTACAAAAACCGACTTGTTTTCAGCGCTGGGCTGAAAACAGGTCGGTTTTTGTAATTATTTTCAAAAGGGGTCGGTTTTTGCAAATAAAAACCAAAAAAGGTTGGTTTTGAAAATTTGTCCTTTCTTTAATCTTACTAAACCTTTCTGTAAATATTAACTAACACAGATGTTTGGATCAAATTTTCCATTCCTCTTTCTTCTTCTAGCTTCGTTCTCTCTGTTGTTCCATTTCTTTTCTTTTCTTTTTTCTTTCTTTTTTTTTTTCTCCTCTTTTCGTATCTTTCCTACAACCCATCAATTAGCTTCAACAAATTCAATACTCATTATACTCCAATTGAAATTCCCTTTTTTATCAACCAAACATTCTTCAATTTCTATAAACTGAAAGAAATTAAGAAGTTAGGTTATACCTTTGGATCAATCAAGCTTCTCTTCTCCACCTCTACCAATTTCTATACCCTAAGCAGGTTACTCTTCCCTCTCTTTCTCTCTCTCTCTTCATTTTATTTCTCCATTCTATGATGGAAGGGAGTGGGATATTCATGGATTTACATCTTTTCTATTCCCTTCTCAGTGCATAAGGCGGTGCCGAAATTTTCTCCAATGGCCAATTTCCGCCAGAGCCTGTAGGCGTCCGTAAACAAGCAAAGTGATTGGGGGATTTTGCACAAAACCCCTTATCAATTTAGTAATTGCATAAGTTCTCTTAGGATAAAACTAGATTGTACAGTGGCTATTACAAATCCCTCGACATTTATTATCTCAAAAAGATCATGAAGACATACGCATAAGAAGCCAAGCGATTAATTTTCTACACCACATATTTAAAGAGCTTAAGTAAATATCAAATGATGCTAAACTACACCATTAGTTCAATGCTTATTTGACGTGCTTGCATAGTATTTTATTGGATGCGATATTGTAGATTTCTAATGATGCTAAACCATGAGTGACCTACATTGCTTTTCAAAAGTCACAACGTTATCTACGAAGATTATTTAGATGCAACTCTGGCAATATATTTTTAAAAAGTAATCATACCCTAAGGTACCTAAAACTCACTTAAATAAAATTAAAAAAAAACTTTAGGGTACACCAGTATCGTCATAAACAAGCGAAGGCAAATAAATGAAAGTTATAAAAATTTGAGGGTATATAAGTGCTGCCACAAACAAGTGAGAACTTATTAATGCAACATGGTAGAAATTGTAGGGTATTTAAGTGCAATTAACCCAAAATAGAAAGAATTTGATGAGAACGTACCATGGCAGAACAATTTGCGAAAAAACATTGTTTGATTTGAAACGGAAGTCATAACTGTACTTATTGTTTATAAGAACACACTAGATTCAACCCATTCATGCAAACACTCCTTTCCTTCATCGGGTGATGCAACTGACCATACCTATCACATTGATAATGAGGAAGACGCTAGACTACAAATCTCGTAACTATTACACTAACTATTACACAAAGAGCTGTTGTAGTCTAGTTATTACTACTCACGAAAGAATCTCATCATCCTATATACAAAACTAGATGAAGATAAATACGTGCAAGAGGGATTGAATCCTCTTAGAAAACTTTGTCCTTGATGGTTTAATTATGATGGATATGGATCATCTCCGCTACAAAATAACAATAATAGAGAAACCACTACTTTAATTAGACATTGATTTACCTGATGAGTGGATAAGGTTCGTCCCCACCTCCAAAGAAAATAACTAATTCCTCATTTTATACTCGAACAAATCACTACCATTCAATAAACAAAACGACGACTATAATAAAAAGTAGTTGCCTCTCTACTTTCGTGTATTGGAGACCATAGATTGTTAAGATATTAATCTATTATAATTAGATCTACTCGTGTTAAGCCTTTTGAGACTTCAACAGACTTTAAAAAAAATTCTATTAGTCAAATTCCATTACATAAGTCTCTAACTGCATGGGTTTTGATGTGTTTCTAACAGTTCTTACAATGGATAGCATGGCATGGCATAATACGCTTAGAACTGGAGCCGTCAAATAATCTTTTATCATACAAAGCTCCCCAACTCTACATTACAGCCACCAGATGAATGTGCAAAAACGTTCATTGAAACTTCTGCATAAATTATAACTTACTGGACATTTCCCCAGTCCTAAATAAAAATAATTAATCAATAATGCACATGTCCACATCTTCATAGAAACATCACATAATGGAGAACTACGACCATGCCAGCAAATTTCTGATTACTGATGCTCGAAGAGTCTCCGTCCATACCCAAAAAAAAGAAAAAAGAAAAAAAGAAAAAAGCCTGCATCAAGCCAATCAACTATAATACAGAATCACAATATTGAGTAAAACAGATCTAGAACTATGAGTTATTGAAGGAATTTCATACTAGATACTTACTGTTGAAGCACTTCTACTCATCATCAGCTAATACACTCCAAATCATCCTATATGGTTACAGAGAAGTGACAAAATTAGCGCAAGTTGTACAAGGCAGGAAACTTACAGATCAGTATAAAATAGTACTATTACCAGAACAAGGATAAAAAGAGGAGGATGACATTGTATATAAGCTTAATGAGTCGCCGTTTCTTTTCCCTGTTGAGCTGGTTAAATATCTCTGTTACATCTACTAAATATTGTCTCTTCTCGTACCTGTCATTTAAATACCTTTTCAGAGCTCGGAAAACCTTTTTTTCAAGCTAATTCAAATATGAGTTAATTTACAGGAAAGAAAATCTTCCATTAATAGACTAGATACAACAGTTGGGTACAGGTATAATTTCTTATTGTTTAGGGTTATTTGCACTTTGATACCCTAAAAGTTACACATTTTTTCACTTTGATACGCCAAAGTTTTTTCTGACACTTCGATACACCAAAGTTCACACCTTTTTAATTTTGATACCACAAAGTTTTTTGTTAGAAACTTTGATACCCTAAAGTTTCAGTGCCATTAAATTTAGTATCATTCATTTCACTGCCATTTTTTGTTTAACACGATTCATTTAGGACGACAATATGCACAGTAATGAAAAACAAATACCCTCTACCGCATTATTTTCCTTCTCATTTTATTTAGACCATACTCATTCTTACCAAAGCCCGAACTCCTTGTTTGGTACCCGGATCTAATTCAAGTGAGAATGGAATGAAACAAGGGAATGGAGTAAGTGTGGAAATGGAATGCTCATTATATTACTATTATGCCTCGTTTGGTACGCGGGAATGAGTGGGAATGGAATGCAATTCCAACTCTTTATTCATGCCTACCAAACACGATGTATCTTTAAATGCTAGAATTGCTATTCCCACTTCTTATCAATTCTCACTTTATGTAGGAATTGTCATTCCCAACCATTTAACAATGAATGAATAAAAATAATTAAATAATTTCTAATTATACCCTTCTTAAAAGATACGAATAGATATAAATTCGCATATGAAAAATTATTTTTATAAAAAAATATTATTAGCTACTCGTACAAATAGATATAAAATATTAAAATACTAGTTCGACATTGCCCCAATTCCACATCGCGTCTGCAAAAGAAAAAATATCGTCTTCGCCTCGATGCAACTTGGTAAGGTAACCATTGTTTCTTTTTTAAATTTATATGTGTGGCTAATTTTTACCTAATCTTTACAAGAATTTTTTATCTTATGGCGACTCGGTTAGGTAATCTATTGGCAATTAGGTTAGCTAATATTTAATCTTTGGTGTTAGGTGTTAGATTACTTGGAAACAATTCTTCAATTTTGTCGATAGTTAGCTAATATTTAATCTTTGGTGTTAGGTGTTAGATTACTTGGAAACAATTCTTCAATTTTGTCGATAGAGCATCTCTAGCTAATTATTGAGGTGTTAGATTACTTGGAAACAATTCTTCAATTTTGTCGATAGAGCATCTCTAGCTAATTATTGAATGCTTAGTAAAATTTTTAATAAATCTCCTCTTAAGACCACTTCATAAGTTCCAAACGCGCAAAACATGTTCACAAGACAAACAATTCTTCAATTCTCTCTATAAACCATCCCTAGCTAATTACTGAATGATTAGCAAAAAGTTGAACAAATATCCTCTTAAAAATTGGTTATTGCAAAGCTTATTTCAATAACTAATAAAAGACAATGTTTAGCGATTACTAGGAGAGTGAAAAAAATATCATTTCCATAAAACTTATTTTTCTCAAAAATGAATGATTTTAGTCATTTTTAAAATATTTTAATGTTTTTAAAATTTTGTGTTTTGGTAAGGGCATTGTTAAAAAACTAAATTTTATTCTCACTTGTGAATAAATGATACCAAATGCGGGAATGAGAATAAGATTACTATTGACGTTTCATTCTCTAAACGCGTCCAAACATGAGAATGAGAATTGTCATTCCAGTCTCACATATTATTCAATTTCATTCTCACTTTCTTTCCATTCTCACTTAACTCCATTCCCGCGTACCAAACAAGACGTTAGAGAATGAAGTAGGAATGACAAATCTTTTTTTCTCCCCTTTTGGCATGGATAATTAATAAGCAACCAATATATTATTTTAAAATTTTGATTGCCACTTAAGTTGGAATGCCCATTGAATGACCGTTCCCTACAAACTCCTTGGGAATGTTGATTCCTACATAAAATGAGTATGAATGTGAAGTTGGAATGAGTATTCTAGTTTCTAAAAAGGTGCTGCATTTGGTACGCGTGAATGAGCCAAACGAGGCGCAGGAGATTAAGGGGAAGATATGGAGTAGTGGGGATATATTTTTCACCATAATGGTGTCTCTGTCTCAAAAGTATCACATGTTTCGCACATGATAGAATTTAAACAAAAGTTAAATAACAAACGAACTTTGGGATATCAAAGTGATAAAAAAATAAATAAATTGTCGAGTGAAAAATAAGTGAAATCTCTGAGATATCAAGGTTAAGAATTGTGTAAACACATTGAGAGTTTGGTATTTCACTGTTGTAGGGGAAGGTAAGTTAAGATAGGGCGAAAAAGCGATTGGAAGGGAATTCTCTTCCCCTCAATTCAACCCCAATTAGGGGGTGAACAAAATTTCTATTGATTGGAGGGGAATTTAAGGGAATGAAATACCTCCTCTCAAAAAAACTTTCCAAACAGGCTGAATGGGTTCCTATACCTTCTTCTCTCCCCCTATTTCCTTTAATCCAAATAGGGTGTAGGTACAAATGTGCAAACGATCCTTTTGTTTGTTCTAAAATAAATGCGGCAAAAACAATCCTTTTACATGTGTGTGCGTGCGTATGTGTCGTGTGTGGGTGCACGCGCGTGTGGGTGTGTGGGGGTGTGTGCGTGCGTGTGCGCATGTGGGCGCGTGCTTGGACGTGGGCGTAGGCATGTGCCCGCGTGCATAGGCGTGTGTGCGTGTCTGTCCATGTGTGTATGCGTGTGCA